TGAAAAGCTGGTAGACTTTTTTATTAGGCTGTTGTGACTATAACCATTGTTGTTCTGCTGATAGATTTTTTTATTAGGCTGTTGTGACTATAACCATTGTTGTTCTTTTGTTACAGTTATAGGAGAAAGCTGTCTTGAGAAAGGGGTGGTGGTGTCCTGAGTGGTGGTCCCAAGGTAATGGACCATGTGGGAGAGCATAGCAGGTTCCATAGCAGGTGAGGGTGGCAGAGGTTGAGGGAATAACACACAAGCAGACAGAGCTTGAATGAGTTTATTTAGAAAGGGAAGTGAGGGAGAAGGGAAGAGACATAGAGGCACCGGGAACAGAAGAGGAGAGAGAGGAAAGGAGAAAGAGAGGGAGGGGAAGGGGGAGAGGGAGAGGGAGAGGGAGAGAGAGAGAGAGCAGAGCTGGAAGGCAAAAGAGAGCATAAGTGGGCACTGGGGTCTGACTTTTAAAGGGGTCTTTTACACCTGACTGCAGACTAGTACTCATGGAACCCTGGGCTGACCAGGGCACTGCCTGAGTGCATTCTGCCAGGTGACAGGGGCAGGCCAGCAAAATGCCTGAATCCTAACAACCTTGTGGGACTTCCCTCTGGGGCAATGATTCAGTATTCACTAATATAATCACAAACATTTTTACATTCAACCAAAGAAAAAGCATGAAATAGTGAGAGATAATTTTCCCCAGACTCAGAAGGGATAGCCAGTTTCCCAACTAAGTTGACCACAAAAACTGCTGACTGGTGCTAATTTTTATTCACAGGCATAAAAAAATGCTCACTATATCCCCACAGACAAAAAAGACCAAGTGGTTGTTCCATAGTATGTGTGCACTCTGACAGTCATGGAAGGATGTTAATAGGATAAAAGAAAACAATTAATTAATGAAAACCATTAACAGTTCAGTTACATTAAATTATTCTTTTTAAACTTATTAGCACAGAAATGTGAGGATAGGCTTTATTCAGGCAATGCCAGCAATCTGTCTGCCCTTCCACCCAGCAAAGTTGTACAGTTCCCAAGGCTGTGTGAGGTCAATAACCCCCTAAAGGGCCAGGATCCCCCAAACCTCCAAACAGCTTCTCCACTGGTGTCAAAGAGAAAAGAGGGTTATTTCAACCTTAAATATAACTGGCTGCATTTGACTGACTTTAAAAACTGAAAATGAGGCTGGTGTAGTTGCTCACACCTTTATCCAGCACTGGGGAGGTGACAGAGGCAAGCCAGTCTCTGTGAGTTTGAGGCCAGCCCAGTTTTCATACAGAGTTTAAGGACAGCCAGGAGTACATAGAGAGATCCTGACTCAAAAAAAAAAAAAAAAAACAGAACTACCAAGAAAGGAAGGAAGGAAGAGAAGGAGGGAGGGAGGGAGGAAGAAGGAGAGAGAGAAAGTACTGACAAACTTTTTTCTGGACAATACTTCACTTTCTCAGTACATAGAACCAAATATGCAAATAAAGGACAACTCTACTCATTCTGACCCAAGGGTTCCCATCATCAGACAGCAGTATAAGCTGAATTTTTTTTTTACCATGTACTTTTATGGTATCTCATAGTGATCAAAGTGTCCTCATATCAATTGTCATCACTTAACGAAGAGTAACCAAGCAAAAAAGACTGGATACGGTCAGAACAGAAGGCTCAGGTTCAGTGCCCAGAATCCACAACCACTCATGTAACTCACACCTTCTTGTGACCTGGTCTACATGTATACTCAAACACATAAAATAAATACATCTAATAGAAAAATGTTTGGAGATGGGATAAAACACTTTGACAAATGTTAGGAGCAATAACAAATATTAAGAGTGGCTTTTTTTTTTTTTTAAAGAGAGAGTATGGCCTCAAATTTGCTCTGTAGTCAAGGATGACCTTGAAATTCTGATTCTCCCTTGTCTACCTCCTTAGTAATGGGATCACAGACCTTTGACACTCCTAGTGTGGTGGTTTGAAAGAAAATGGCCCCCAAAGGGAGTGCACTATGAGGAGATGTGGCTTTCTTGGAGTGGGTGTGGTCTGGAAGGAAGTATGTCTTTGAGGTCTCTTTTCTCAAGCTTCCCTCAGTTCCCTCAGTGTGACAGTCAGTCGACTTCCTGTTGCCTGCAAGATTTAAGACTCTCAGCTTTCCCTCCAGCGTCACATCTGCCTGCATTCTGTCATGATAATAATGGACCGAACCTCTGAAACTGTAAGCTGGCCCCTCAATTAAATGTTTTCCTTTATAAGAGTTGTCATGGTCATGGTGTCTCTTCACAGCAGTAGAAACCCTAAGATACCTAGTACTATGGTTGGTTTTACGCTGCACTGGAGGTGTATGCTAAGCTAGCTCCTACCAACTGAGCCACCCCCAGCCAAGAGTAAGAGGTTTTGATCTTGACAATTTGGGTTCATATCTCGGGCATTTAAATTACATAACCTTTTGGAGCCTTATTAAATTTTCAGATAGTGCATACATCTTCATAATTTTGGAGACAAGTTCAGTATCTCATAAGAGCACTCAGTATTTCTTTCCATCATTCCTATTAGACAAGACTCAAAGTCACACACTTTGACTCCACCGTTCTCTCCCTCAGATGCCCTAAACATGTCTTCAGTGTGTGCCACCCTGCTGAGGACTCACACAGCACATGTGCACACAAGCGTGAAAGGCTACACAGTGTTCAACAGCTGAGGACTCACACAAGTGTGCAGAGGCCCTGAGGAGGCATGCTGGAAGCTAGCTAAACTTGTTCAGACAGCAGCTCTCAAGTGTGTCTGATGGAATTTCTCTGCAGAATTACCATAAACACCCACAGAACTCTAATTCTCCTGAATGTAACTCATTCTTCTGAACATATGTTTAAAAATACTGATTTTGATAAATGCATGTGTGAGAGTAAAATAAGAGTATACCCAAGAAACTACCTTCATATTTACTTTTTAAACTTTATTTTTTTGAAACACTTCCTTCTCTCCCCTACATTCCCCTCCCTCCCTTTCACTCCCCCCCCCCTTCTCTGGAACTTGCTACAGATCTCTACAGCAATCCATCTGCATCTGCTTTACCCTAGTACTGGGAATAAAGGTGTATGTCACCATGCCTGGCCCTTAACTTTTTTTTATAACTTTTAAATTTTTTTACTCTTTGTGTAGTGTTCTGCCTACATGTGTGTCTGTGCGCCACTTGTGTGCCTGATGGCACCCAAAACCAAAACAAGGAATCTGAACCCCTGCAACTTGAGTTACAGACAGATCAGACAGATGTGAGCCACCATGTGGGTACTAGGGATGGAACATGGTAACACAGTCCTCTAGAAAAGCAGCCAGTGCTCTTAACTGCTGAACCATCTCTCCAGGCCCTATATTTAGCTACTTTTGAGATGTCACACTGTGTTGCCCTGGCTGACTTCAAAGCAGCAATCCTTCTGCCCCAGCCTCCCAGCACCACCACACTTGACTACTAAAAGCTATCCTTTAATGGAGATTCTCAAATCATTATTTTGTAGCCAGCCTTGAATGAGCATATATATTCTAATATCAAACTGTATTTGGGCCACTGGAACATTTTTATCACAAGGCTTCAGAATAAGTAAGACTGACCAAGGATTAAGAAGTGGCTCATCTAATGGAAGACAGGGAGGAAAAAAATGGGGGAGAAGTTTTACTCTTTGCTTCTAAACTGACTTGTATGACCTATCTTATTCAATAAATCAATTTTCCAAAAGTGGTGTAAATCTATTGCCATAGCATGACCTGTGGTCATTACTCATGGTATCCCCCCCAGTGGACAACAGAAAGAGAATAGAGCTAGTGAACTATAACCCCACCCCCACAGACCACACACAAAGCAGCTAGTTATGTAACAAGAAAATGGACACAATTATCAGCATTTAAGCAGTCTTGAAATTTTCCACTGGTCTCTATTGTAATTACAATGTTGGGGAAATGTCCAACTAGACTTTTTTTTAGGGCCTGTACTAAGTGTCCAAAATACCATAATTCTTGGGGGGGGGGGGTAGAATGGTAAATAGTTGCCAGGTTTGGTGACACATATCTGTAAATCTCAGCCCTGAAGGTTGAGGCAGAATTGTCGGGAGTTTGAGAACATCCTGGGTTATATATTGAGGGAGTGACCCTGTCTTAAGAAAACAAAAACAAAGTAGCTATTATATTTGGAGACCTGAAATTATGTACAAATATTATGACCTACACCTAGAAAATCGTGTAACTATATTAATGTAAACAATCAAAATAGAACTTAAAACAAACGGGCTGCACAATTTACTAGATGATGGGTCTTCCAACTTTTTCCCCCGTGTACTATCTCAATTTATTCTACATAAATATCTGAAGTTAATAACGGGGATTGAGTACATGGAATAAAAATCCTTAAGTCTGTCAAATAGTGTCAATGGGACACTTAAGCTTCAAGATCTCGTGGTTCTCTGAGGAAAATGAATGGAATTTAGATGTGTTCTGGTTGGCAAGTGAAATATGTATACATATGGCTCAGCCAGTTACCAACGTCAATTCCAGAACCAGTTGTTGCTGCCAAAGGCACCAGAGCCCCTTGAAAATTCCTTTTACTTCTGTTTTTTTGCACTGGGAAGACCTAAACCTCAAGGATTAATAACGGAGGCCACCACCTCTCCAGGTCACAGCCCAGCACATGGTGGACAATCATGCTGCAGGAGGCAGGGCACACACCTACCCGAGCCAGGCCATGGGAGCTCCTGTCATCCCAACTCCTCCCAGATGACCTGCCCTCCCCCAGGCCTTTGCTGAGACCGCCCCCACATCTTCCTATCCTTCTCTACCTAACCAAAAGCAAGGACAGGGGAGGGAAAAGATGGTGGCGCGAGGAAAAGCACCCCCCTATGCCTCGCTCTTCCCCATTCCAGAGACGCAAAGCCACACCGCCTATCCTCGAGCCCACAGGCAAAAATCGCAACACTTAAGATTTCTTTTTCAGATGCTTTTAGGCACAAATAACTTCCCCGCTCCCTTCCGCCCCTCACCTTCACGAAAGCAATCGGGGTTGTGGTACCTTCGATATCTAACAGGATAGCTGTGACTTCGGCGGGCACCGAAACCACGACCATCTCCCTGCCGGATGCTACCACAGGCACGGCCTCGCTGGTAGAGAGGACAGCACCGTCCGCGCTCCCAGCAGCCTCGGGCTCCCGAAGAAACCCAGCAGCAACAGGAGCTCTGGCAGCAACGAGAGAGCGAGCGAGCGAGTGAGCAGAGGGGCGGACTCAGGCCGGCTCCGGGAACCCGCGATTGCAAGGAAGCCGCCCGAGTTGCTGCACCCAAAGACCAGGCGAGCGGCGCAGGCCCAGACCACGTGGGCAGCCACAGGGGGCGGTGCTCCTGAGGGCGGGGCAAGCAGGGAGCGCGCTCCCATTGGCCACCGGCGAGCGGAGAACGCGATCCGTCAAAATGGGCCTCGCGTGGGCGGGAACAAAGAAGCGAACACCCGAACCCGGAGCCCGGAGCCCGGAGCCCGGGGCGCGGAGCCCGGAGCGCGGGCGCCAGCCCTCCGCAGCCTGGAGGAGGGGAGCCAGCGCGAGCTGCTCGGGGCCCGTGCAGGCAGGAGGCCCTTGAGCGGCGCGCCGGGGACGTGAGTGCCCCTTGCCTTCTCCCGTACCCGACCCCTTCCCCGCCCACCGCGTGCGCTTCGGCACAGCTGCCGTCCTCCGAGCAGGCCCCGCCCTCCGCCGCGGCCTCCGCCAGCCAGGGAGGCCGGGCAGCTCGGACCCAGGCTGCGGCGATCCTGCAGCCGAGAGACCCCCCCCCCCCCGAACAGACACCGCCCCGAGGCGACGGCGGAAAAGCCGCCCTCCCCGCCAGGACAGAGAGGAGGGTCATCGCGCGTCCGCTGTCTGGTTCGAGCCCGCGCAAGGACAGAACACGCGTGCGCCGGTGAGGGCGGGCGGGCGAGCTAGCGCGCTGCAGCTTCAGCACAGCGCCGAGTGCACGCCGCCTCCTTCCCGGAGCAGCCAGGCGGGCATCGCCGCCGTCGCCGCGGCTCCGCACTGGGGGACTGAGGGCTCAGGAAGGGAGCGGGCCGGACTGCACGCGGCGACACAAAAGGCTCTCCAGGCAAGAGGGACTGTGGCCGCGCGACGGCGCCCGGGGTTGCCTGCGCTTGGCTGCCGCGCGTCTGAATTGCCCTGCGCCCTCAGACCGACCCCCAGTGCGACCTCGCCCGGAGCTCCGCGATGGAGGTCCCGCCCCGGCTCTCGCATGTGCAGCCGCCGCCGCCATTGTTCCCCTCCGCTCCCGCTCCTCTAGCCTCCCGCAGCCTCTCCCATTGGCGGCCGCGGGCTCCCCGGCAGCTCGCCCCGCTCCTCCCTTCGCTGGCTTCCAGCTCCTCCCGGCAGGGGGCGCGCCGGGCCCCGCGCCACGTCACCGCCCAGCAGCCCTCCCGATTGGCGGGCGGGGCGGCTATAAAGGGAGGGCGCAGGCGGCGGCCGGATCTCTTCCGCCGCCATTTTAAACCCGGCTCCATACAACGCTCCGCCGCCTCCGCCGGGCCCCGCTCTGCGCGCCAGCACCCCGTCGCCGACGGCCCCGCCAGCATGGAGGACGTGAACGAGTACAGCAACGTAGAGGAGTTCGCAGAGGGATCCAAGATCAACGCGAGCAAGAACCAGCAGGATGACGGGTACCGCACGCGCCGCGCCTCCCCTCCCCCAGGGCCCCGCGCGCGGCCCACGCTCTTGCCCCGAGTCGGTTCTCCGCGTGCCCGCTGGACCCCAGTAGCTTGCCCGCTGGTGGAAAGTAAAACGGGGGAGGGGGGACTCGAGAAGCCGCTGCGGATGGGGGAAGGGAGGAGGGGTCGGGGGGAGGAGGGCGGCGCCGTCGGTGTCCCGAGTGCGCAGGCGCCGCGGGGGGGAGGGGCAGGGCTCGGGTGCGCCGCATGCTGCAGCAGCTGCCTCCTCTTCATTGTGTCTGTGTATGTTGCTGGGGCGACTTTTCCGGGGTAGTTTGCGGGGAACTTTTGGTTTGGGCACCAGTAGCCGACTGGTACCAAGAGTTGTTTAGGTAGCAAGTTGACTTGTGAGCTGTGGATAAAAGTTCACTGAAGTTGTGCTGGGGGAGGGGGGATTCAGTGTACAAGTTGTGCTTTTGCAAGCCAAAGTAATCGGAGCAGAATCTCTCCGCCAGACTTGATTGTTGGCTTCTTAAAGTTTCGTGTTAGCACAGTAGACAGCAACCTGTCTGCTGGTTTGTTTGAGCAAGTGATCATAAGGTTTTTTTGTTTTTTTTTTTTTGTGGTCTGTCAGTGTTTGTAATCAAAACGGATTGCTTGCAGTTAGTGAATAAATTGCTCTGTGTTTACTGTATTGTTTAGTTACAGGGTTGAAGTGGTCACTGAGTTACTGTTAAGTTTTTTTTTTTAATAACTTTACTTCTAGTAAAATGTTTATTGGAGGCTTGAGCTGGGATACAAGCAAGAAAGATCTGACTGAGTATCTGTCTCGATTTGGGGAAGTTGTAGACTGCACAATTAAAACAGATCCAGTCACTGGACGATCAAGAGGATTTGGATTTGTGCTTTTCAAAGATGCTGCTAGTGTGGATAAGGTAGGGGTGTGTTTTGCACTGTGCCTTTTGTGCGGCTTGAAAATTGCTCTAGGCTTCTAAGTTCTGTCAAACTAACTTGTCTTCTAGGTTTTGGAACTGAAGGAACACAAACTGGATGGCAAATTGATAGATCCCAAAAGGGCCAAAGCTTTAAAGGGCAAAGAACCCCCTAAAAAGGTTTTTGTGGGTGGATTGAGTCCAGACACTTCAGAAGAACAAATTAAGGAATATTTTGGAGCCTTTGGAGAGGTGGGCTATGCTTGTATACATGCATTTTTGAAATGCTCAAACTTGGTCAAGTTTGTAGGGTTCATTAGTATTTCATAGGATGGGGCTGAGTTGCTTACTGGGTGCCTTCTAGTGTATGCATCTTAATTGCTGTTTTCTGTGCCATGGTGGTATCTAGACAAAGCCCAAGGGCTTAAAGCCTTTGAGTTTTACCAGAGGGTGGCCTCTATGGGGTAGAAGATGCTGTAAAAGAATATAACTTTTTTAGTCGTAGAGTTTGTGAAATCTGTACACTTGCACTAATGGGTGGTTTTGTTTGTTTTGAATGCACCTGGTTGCAGATAGAGAATATTGAGCTCCCCATGGATACAAAAACAAATGAGAGAAGAGGATTCTGTTTTATCACATACACAGACGAAGAACCAGTAAAGAAATTGTTAGAAAGCAGATACCATCAAATAGGTTCTGGAAAGGTAAATCGCTTGAATTCCACAAAGAGAAGTTTGTGTGAAAAATCTGTTGGGGGGAGCAGTTTTGTGTTCAGAGCTTAGAATATCAGCAGCGATTCTGTTTGTTTTTAGTGTGAAATCAAAGTTGCACAACCCAAAGAGGTTTACAGGCAGCAGCAGCAGCAGCAGAAAGGTGGACGAGGTGGAGCCGCTGGTGGTCGAGGTGGCACCAGGGGGCGTGGACGAGGTGAGGCTTGGTGTGGGGCACTGCTTTTATCTGAGCAGGAAGCTGCTAGGTGAAATGGCCCATAGGAAAACACAGCTAGAGGAAACTTAAAATGACACCACATGGTAAAGGCTGGTTTGTGGGGAGGTTTTTCTTTTTAGTGAGTACAGTGTAGGGGACAAGAATGCATCGTTTTGTGTTAGGATTGGGAGGGTCCAAAGTGGTTTCCTAACAATCATTGTGCATTGTTTCAGGTCAGGGCCAAAACTGGAACCAAGGATTTAATAACTATTATGATCAAGGATATGGAAATTATAATAGTGCCTATGGTGGTGATCAAAACTATAGTGGCTATGGCGGATATGATTATACTGGGTATAACTATGGGAACTATGGATATGGACAGGGATATGCAGACTACAGCGGTAAGAATACTTAACTTAATTTTATAAACCAGTGGTGTTAAAATTCAGTTTTGAAGTACTTTTCCCATTCTGAAGTTGTATGTGTGTATGAGTTTCCTATTGAGATGTTTGGAGTTAAGTCACCGTGTTGTGTAGTCATAGGAAAGTAACAGACAGTGATGGTTATTTTAAAGTGCAATTTACAACTCTTGGCTGTTAAGATGGCTTGATATTTTAATGTTCAGCATGCATAGTAGATTCTTTTATGTTTAAGAAGGTAGCTTTACAGGAAACTTTCTTAGTAAAAACTTGTGTCCTTTCAAACTAGGTCAACAGAGCACTTATGGCAAAGCATCCCGAGGGGGTGGCAATCACCAGAACAATTACCAGCCCTACTAAGGAGGACATGGGAGAAAGCAGGTGTGTGAGCTTACGAGAAAACATTGGCAAAGTCTGATTTAATTTAAAGATCAATAGACAAATGGAAAAGACTGAATAAACAAAATAATGTGTAGTCTTTAAATTGTTAACTTTTAATTGTTTTATGAGCCTGTTTTGCCTAAAGTGTCTATAGATCTTTAACTTTAAAGTCTTACCTCACCTTTTTTAGAATTACAGAAAAACTTAAGAGTTTTTCTGTTTGCTTTGTGTACCAGGAGGTTTAAACTTTTTTAGAACTATAACAGGTAAAGTACTGAAATGGGTACAATAAGAAAAAGAAGAATGTTGTCTTCTAACTCTGACATTATACCTTGTTTGTACCCGCCAGCGGGAACTTCATTGCAGGCCGTGTGTCACCCTGACCACGTCTATCTCTGGGGGTCGCACGTTGCGGGCAGAGCGCAAGGCATACACCAGAAAACGCTGTCCTGTGGTATGGTCTCTTCCAACTTCATGTACCAGCGTAAAGATTAAAGTGGAAAACTTCAGACTTTGGCTTCTTTTTAATCTTTTTGGAGATTAAGTGTCTAAACTTAACTTAAATGGTTTTTTGCAGGAGTTAAAAATACATAAATGCCTTTTTACAGCTTAATCATTTTGGTCTTCTGTTTAGTGTTGTATTTCAATTGTGGAGCCTCATTTTAAGTGTCCATTCTTTAAGATTTAATGCTTGCTTTTTCTTTTTATAGCTAATAGTGAAATCTACAAACCAAAACAAGAACTTTTAAATCTGGGATATAAGTTAAAGATCATATGCACAAAGCAATTCATTGTCATTTTGATAATATAAACCTGCCTGAAATTTATGTTGGTGATAGCATTCTACTTGGCTTACTAGAGCTAATG